TATCTAATATTCAACAACAAAAAATACGTAGTTAAGCGTATTGTGCAAAACAACAATAAAAAAATTAAAATCCTATCAGATTTATAGCCCCCACCCTGCAGATCTATTAGAATCTGTCCTTAAATTACAGCCAAACTCATTTACACAGTAACAGATTAAAACCTTTAGATAAACCAAACATTACTGCCACATATCTGACTCTATAACCATTAAAATAACTGTATAGTTGTATTATTATATTAAACTGAACTTCAAATTTTCACAACTGTTCTGCGCCAAGTAACATTTCATCTGATCACGGAGCAAATCACGATGATGAGACATTTGTTATTTCAATATCACCACCCCCCCCCCCGGCGCTCCAAGGTGTCCTGGTTTTCCCAAATGAAAATATGGTCACCCTATACTAGTTCATCAGTTGAGGCGAGAACATTATATTTTTAAGCGTCACGATTTGGCCCATTTACCAATTTAATGCGTAATTAAAAAAAGTTGAGAGGACCGCGGCAACCCACTGAGCTCCAATGCAGCTTCAGACGAGCCAAGCGTGTGGTGTCGTCACGAGTACGCTTCTGTTCCAATTGACCAATATTTATGCTGTGGGCTCCTGTTCTGAACATACTTGGCGAGGACACGAGTCCGTACTCGCGTTCTAGTGAATGGAGAAACAGCCAAAATCATCTCAACACAAAATTTTTAAAAATGGCTTCAAAAGAGATTGGTGCGACCTGGGATGATGCCGAGACTGAGGCTCTTATTGCAATTTGGGCGGAGGACGGTATCCAGGTGATGTTGGATGAAATGAAACATAATCACAAAATCTTTCCCTCTAGAGAGCAGTAATACCGTAGATCGTCACTAGGAGGCGAGGAACCGTGCTAGCGTTGTGTGTAAACGGTCATAAGGAACTGAGCCCGGCACGGTTAACTGGTCTAAGCCCGGTCCAAACTGGGCNTAGGAGGCGAGGAACCGTGCTAGCGTTGTGTGTAAACGGTCATAAGGAACTGAGCCCGGCACGGTTAACTGGTCTAAGCCCGGTCCAAACTGGGCGCAGATCGGTTTTCAGAGGATAGTGTAAATGGGGCTTGAGTTGCGGTTTGCGAGAACGCCACGCAGTATTTTTCATGACAGCAACAACTCCCACGTTAGGCGATGAAGTATATGTTATTATCCCGCAGGCTAACAAAAGAGGCCAAAGCAACCCCCATTCCAAAGGGGTGGACCTGTTCGTCCGTTTCAGTTTGCATGTTTTCTAAGGAAAAACAAACCTTTGTCAGATGTCCCAAGTTCCAAAAACTACTTTCAGGGAGATGCTTAATCCCTAAATTATAAATGTATATCAACCTCATAAGAAATTTAATTTTTATTGAACCTAATTCAAAAGAAATTTCACTTCATGCAGCGCTTTTAATATATTTGAATCTCTTGCCCTGTTTTTTATTTAATGCTTTTTTGGGCCCCCATAAAAAACACGCTGGCCCCCCTGCTGGCCCCCTAGTACATTTGGTCTAGATCCGCCACTGTTTCTCACCTTCACTAGACATGGATATACTTTAGTATATTCTGCTCTAAAATTAGTCTTTATTTTCATTTTTTACTTGAGGATTCAACCTCTGCCGTTTCCCAGGATGCACAGCTTTGAGTGGTAACCAGGTGACTGCCAGAGAGTAACGTGAAAGTTATCGGACTGATCCAATCAGCTCTCTGACAACCAGTCGCCTAGAACGCTGGTTGAACAGAGCATCGCTTTGGACAGATACGCTGCACAGGTTTCACCAGCAACCTCCTCCCCACACCCCACGCTCTCACGTTGTTCCTGCGCAATCGCAATAGTTCTAATCCGCACATGATGCACGATTTATTGTACTGCCTGCCCGCTCTCACTAGCATTAAAAAAACACCGCCTCACATAGTCTAAAATCCGGGATAATTTATCTGACTCGCGGGCATCCGTGAACAACAACTTGGGATGTCTGTTTTGTTAGGCTAATGTATAAAACAACTCAATGTTATTACTGACATTTGAATTGAAAAAGCTTCCTGGATGGGAAGCGAAATGTCTTCAAACTTGTAAACAAAGTCCAGTGGATTGTTTTGTTTTTTTTTACTGTTTTTGAAATGACTAACTCCCAGATTCCACGTACTCCATCAGCGCTCCGATCACGTACGTCATGCAGAGTATTTTCTGTCATGTTAATCAATGATAGCATTTCCACGTCCACCGCTAGTCCTCCGCACCTCACTGTCCACGTACGTCTTCTCCATCCATCACCGCCAAAATATGGAGTCCAGCTATTTTTTGCTTGGAATTTGGAATCTCACCAAACAGGAAAGAAACGCAAGAAGATCTGGTTTGTCAAATTAAAATATAGTAACAACAGGTCAGGAACTATAAATATTCCCAAAAACTAAGTTTAATTAAATGATTGGATGCAAACTATTGGTACTTTAACATACCAGGAAGCAGATTTCTCATTCCAATCAAAAGGCTTAAAAGTTTAATCAAATCCAGTCACAAGAACTTCCAAGAGAGCATCTCACAACTTCAAAACAAACTTCTTATCGCAGGCATGGATGAAGAGATGCTAAGTTAGGAAATAGAAAACAAACTTAGTTTATACAACCATGTATGATCGTAGTTATCCCAGTTACAAAAATCCACAACAAAAAGAAAATATTTGGGCAGAAACTGCGCATGTCCTGGATGCTGATGGAGATTTTTTTCATGTCATATAAAATTAAGCGTTCTTTTCCGCATGTTTTGCTCCTTTGAATTTAATAATAATATAGTGCATGCTCTGCTCGGAGCGGGGCATGATGGGAGGAAGAGCGGAGGCTGTAACCTTTGCTTTGCGCAGTCTGGAGCGAAGCGGGGCGGTGATGGAGGATGTGGGATTTCGCGGTAAGGTGGAGCGGATTAAAAAGGACTTTTCAGAAGCTCCCTGTATGATCGGAATGATCTTCAGCTGATTTATAAAGAACATTTAACCCTAAAAGAGTTTTATTTGTACTTCAAACCCCATCTACGGTCCTTCCTCCACTTCAGCTAAGCTCTAGTTCAGATGTAAGACGCTGATAAGAATACTGGTAATGATGGATTCCTCCTTAACGTTCTGCTCTACTGACTACATCCAGCACATCGGTTCTACTCTGGCCAGCCTGAGCCCCTGCTCCATCCCTCAGAGGTTGTACCGCCAGGCCCAGTCGCTGCTGCGCTCGCTGCTCCCCTGGTCCAACATCGCTTCAAAAACCGGCATCCAGTACAGCAGGACCATGTGACGCGGAACAACCGACGGCGCCTCCGGTCTGCCGGCTGCCTGAGCCTCTTTGTCTGTTTTTAATGTCATGTTTTTTATTTTTAGGAGCCTCCGTCAGTCTTCCCCTGTACAGACCAAGTTCACCACATTCTTTCTCTCTGATGCCTTCCCTCTTCCTGCGTGCACCATAAAGGACTCAGGTTCAACATCTCCTCATTCTCCACCACATCTGCTCCTAAACCTGCAGCCTAAACAGGGTCGTATTTTTAGTAGCTGCAGGCGATTTTTGGAGGAAAAGCCGCAGCTTTTCTAGTTATTCACTTCCTGTATTTGGATATAGATATAACACTACGCCACTGAGGTCATCACCCTGTCTGTAAATTCACCGCGTTATCTAAGGAAGCAGAGATTATTCACTGGATGAACAGACCCATAATGAGACTGAAGTTTTACCGTTACCATATCTCCTTTATCTTGTCAGATACTATGTATTCTATTTGTATATATATTATATTTAGCTAATATATAAATCTATCTTAAAATGTTTGTGGATTCTATTGTATGTCACTGGGCTCAGTTGGATGAACATCCATCCCATAATCCCCCTTTTTTAGAGTAAATTTAAGCCTGAATTAATTTAGTTTTTATAAATTGGCACAAAAATAATCCATTATTGTTAAACTGGTTATATGTCATTTAGTAGAAATAAAATGTTACTAAACTAAAACGGAGAAAGTGGGACATTTGTTTTCAATTTCTGCTTTAAAATCTGTTTTGTTTTGGGGTTTTTTTGTTAGCAGGCAGATTATAGTTGATCCACATTCAGTTCTTGGTTTTAGAGATTTTAAAAGCTGAATCCCTCCTCTTCTAACTTTGCTGCTAATGTAAAGAAATTTCTAAATGTGAAGAAATAAAATCGACCCGGTTTAGATTTTTTATGTCGGCCTGTTAAAGAGATTAGAAGACATCAAAGCGTCCAGAGGACATTCAGGTGTGCGTTTGTTTCTCAGCGCTGGGTTTGTCGTTCTGCTGCGTTTCATTCGCTTCACAGGGTCAGAAGTTTGATCTGTCAGACAAAAACTAAAGGTTTTTTACCTTAGAAACCGTTGATCTACCTGCAGTAGACGAATGTCTTGGTTACATCGACTTTGGTTCCAACACTTCATGTTAAACATTTAACAGATTATTTTACCCAGAGAACAACTGTTCTGGAAACAGGAAGTGAGGCAGTCAGGGTGGGAATTAAATAAAAAAAAAAAAATGGAGTTTTCTACTGCAGGTAAGATATTGACTACTTCACTCACTCCGAGTATTTGGAGCTATTCTTTGAAATATTTTCCTGTTCAGGCTGTGAAACTATCAGGATTAGTTATTTGTAGAGTTCAGTGATCAGACCAAACTGGGGAAAAAGAAAATCGAAATCTAAAGTCATTTTTTCTTAAATAAGTGCATTTGTTCTTGTATTGAGGAGGTAACAGAGATATTTTGCTAATGGAACAAGACAAGTTACATTTAAAATAAGAAAACACAATTGCATTGTTTTATGTCAAGAGCATATTTTCTAATTATCTTATTTTAAGAATAAAAATACTAACTCCATTGGTAAACTATCTCATGTACCTGCTCAAATTAAGTGTAAATACACTTAATTTAAGAATTCTTTTCTTATTTCTAGATCGTTTTTTTCATTGCAGTTGCAGCAGATTAGTTCACGTTCCCACATTTTGGGGCCTCGGCTAAAAAATAAAACGTTGAGATGTTGGTCCAGTGAGAATATTATACCTTTTAGTTTAATATTTTATGTTTTCTGGTCATTTATTTGAATCTGGCCTGGACTTCCAGCTGTAAATGGGACACAGCGTGTGAGTGCCAAAAGCTAACAGTGACTTTATCAGTGAACAACACCCAGTTTGTTTTTATTTCATTTTATGCTTCTGAGGTTCTGGTTGGGGGGGCTTATGCCCATTATCTACTGAGCAAATACAAGATTGATTGTGCTTTTTTTTTTTTTTTTTTTACCTGGAATAAAGCTTTGGGGAGGTTTGGGTGACAGTGTGAATCATTAAAGTTTTCTGTTCTTTTTTTGTGGAAACCTGAACATTTCTCACTCTTCCTGCCCTTTGGAAGGTGATCCAAGTTATGTGCAGACATTGTTTATGCAATAAATCTGTTTCATTTCAATTACTGCAGTCTTGGTCTCTTTTTAACCTGGTTCATCCTTGATTTTTCTCTCATCAAGTTAGTTGGGAATAACTTTATGCATTTATTAACGAGGGGCCTATAGTAATCTGGTATTATTTTTAGCCTAAATGTTTCCTAGATGGCTTGTTGCCTGTAGAAGCTTAGATGGTCTCATTTACAGACGGGGACAAAATTGTTGGTTCCCCTCGTTTAACGGATAAAACACCTTCAATAGTTACAGAAAGGACTTTAATCTGATAAAAGTAATAAAATGGAAAGAAGAAAGTCAGCTATTGCTTATCAACCAGAGTTCAGAAAAATGATTAAAAAATGAAACAGACAAAATGATGGGAAAGAATCACCATCGTAAACCTCCATGTTTTTAATCCTTATTTCATATTGAAACACTTTTCCTATCGGTTTTATCTTTAAAAAAAACATTTCCAGCAAACTTTAACTTAAGCATCAGTTTTATATGATGAATTATATTCAGCATTGCGTATAAAAACTGAAACTAAGCTGTTCGTCCAGCAGCCTAAAGATGAGGCTGATGTTTTCTGAATTAAACAGAAAACTGGCAAAATCCAAAATCACATCATTAACAGACAATACATTAAAATAAAAACAATAATTGTGGCTGGCCTCTCACACCAGACAATATTTTGACGATTTAAAGAATCTAAAACATTACAAAAAATATATATTTTCACAGAAAACCCATAGTGAGTTTAGCTACCATAGAGTAACTACTGGTAAGGTATATTTTTATGCATTTAAACG